CAGTGTCAAGGACACTAGCGCAAAAGCCGCCAGCATGCAAGCAGGCAGCGTGGAGGGCGCTGGCGCACAAGCAGCCAGTGCACAAGCCGCCAGCGCGCAAGCAGCCAGGACGCCATGCGCTAGTGCGCAAGACGCGTGCAGGATACTAGCACGCAAGCAAGCATCGTGCAGCCAGCCAACGCACATGCGCAAGCGTGGAAGCAGCCAGCTAGCGCACAGGGCACTAGTGCGGAAGCGCGCAAGCAGCGAACACGCAGAGCACGAGCATGCAAGCAGCAACGCGCAGGGCGTTAGCGCACGAGCAGCGAGCACGCGAGCAGCCAGCGAGCAAGCAACTAGCGCACAGGGTGCCAACGCGCCAAGAGCCAGCGCGCACAACACCAGCATGCAAGTTTTATGCAAGAAGGTACAAATAGCGAGAGTGGAGAGACAAGTCGAGAGAAAGATAGAAGGGAAAACGACAATGCAACTGAACAAATTGTTGCTGAAATAAACAAGCACAACGAGATGCTTACTTACCTTGAACAACAGTCGTACCTTCCCTTCGCCATCCTCCCTCTTCCTCCTCTCCCCTCCGAATGCACACTGCTGTCGCTGTAGATCGCACCTCTAGCTGGCATGGCATGAGGGAGCCTGACACGTACCGTCCCAGCGAATGAGCCGCAAGCGCACACGACCCTAAACTAGGAGCTACCTGATGCTAGGGCAACCAGCGCTTGTGCTGACTTCCGCCCAGCATGCGTGGCACCAGCGCACAAGGGCCACTGGCACCAGCGAGCACTCGGCCAGCATGCACTACGCCACCATGCACGGCACCAGCATGCACCTGGTGCCGGCGCGCACCTGGCGCAAGCGTGCACAGGGCTTGCGCGCACAGCACCAGCGAGCACCTGGCGCCAGCGCGCACTTGGCGCCAGCGCGCACGGCACCAGTGCGCACGCAGCAAGCGTGTATGGCGGCAGCGCACACGGAGCCAGTGCGCAAGCGGCCAGCATGCACATCGCCAGCGTGCACGGCGCCAGCGCCAACGCCAGCGCGCACGGCGTCAGCGCCAGCGTGCACGGCGCCAGCGCCAGCACCAGCGAGTGCCAGGGCGCACCTGGCGCCAGCGCGCACGGCGCTGCGGCAACGCCGCATGGCGCCAGCACACACTGGGCCAGCACGTATGGCGCCAGCACGCATTGTGTAACGTCTGCGGACAGAAAATACCATAGAGAATGTAAACGCATTCCGCTGCGCCTCTGGGTAACCTCGTTTTGACCCAGTGGGTAGCGAGGCGTTATACTGGTATCAGAGCTTAGGTTTCGAACCTCGGCTGGACACATTTTCCGCGCACGGCTGAGGTCGTGGCGAGAACTCGAATGTGTGAAAAATACAGCTGCGGTTGTATCCAGTCGCGAACCCAGCGAACGATCCTTAAACCGCTGTGCATCACCAGCGAAGTCGCTGACTTGGACCACCAGCGAAACTCGAGGTCCTTGTGGGGGCCGACTTCCTGAGCCAACGAGGACATTGGCGCCAGGGGGGGGCAAGTGTAACGTCTGCGGACAGAAAATACCCTAGAGAATGTAAACGCATTCCGTTGCGCCTCAAGGTAACCTCGTTTTGACCCAGTGGGTAGCGGCGCTATACATTGCCCTACGGTGCATCTCACGAGGGAGGCTTGGGAAACAAGTGCCTAAGGGCTTGGAGGCAGCTTAATTGCACGGCTCGGCCAAGCCGTGTCCTCAATTAACATTTTCTACCCACTTTGCTCACGGCCCGGGCAACCCCGAACTTGGATAAACATTTTCTACGCGGAGTCGGAAATTTCAAAGTTAAGGATCTTGAATTTACATCAACTGTATTCGGGATGTAGGGGCTGCACGTGATTCGACGGGCCACCGCAACAGTATTGCCACACTTGGATGGGTAGATACGATTTGCCCGTGTATTGGCTGACGCTGTAGAATCTGGACGCGTGCCGACCAATTTCACGCGGGAAAACACGAGATTTCGTGGATTCTCATGAAAACTCATGGCCCCCCTAGTCAACTTGCGCCACTAGCAAAAGACCGCCCATAACTGTACAGCCCTGTCATAATTTTGCGAGAGCAAATTGGGAGATATTAAGGGATACATGGGGCAACGGGCAAGAAAAAACTAAAACCCATAGGGACCCGGCATGCAGTTTTGGATGGCACCAACCCTAATCTCGCTAAAGGGCCGCGAAATTAGGGTTGATGTCATTCCAAATGGCATGCTCGGGCCCCTGGGTTTTATTTGTTTTCTTTCCCGCTGCCCCATGTATCCGTTTATATCTCCCAAACCTCTTGTGTTAATAATTGCGCGAAGAAAAAACTGTCAAAGCTGCCCAAATGACCTTACGTAATAAAAAAACGCAATTCCCGAGTCGCGCGCAGAAAATGTTGATCCAGGTTTGGGGCTGCCTGGGCCGTGAGCAAAGCAGGTAGAAAATGTTAATTGAGGACGCGGCTTGGCCGAGCCGCGCAATTAAGCC